TGTTCCGCTAGCACCAAGCCGAATCGATTGGACACCAGCTTCTTCCAATACATGATAGCATGGAATTGGCAAAGTAGCACTTTAGCAGTAGGAAAACACTCCTCCAACACTCGCCACTCCACAAAATGCTTGTCTATCACAAACGTCTTGGTCTTCATCCACGATGCGTTCTTGCTTTTGAAAAAATCAAAAAAAAAATCTCCAGCGTTACAGCTTTCTCATTAAGCGGCATAAAGTCGAGAACGGGAAAACCTCGCCCGGTTGCCATAATTGCAACAAGACTCCCTTTATAAAAAAAGAAATTACGTGGTTTAGATAAAAAAAAAATTAGAACGTTGCCGAAATGAATAAATAATTACCGATATCGTACCCGACGTTATTTGTAACAAATAACAGCAATTAATAGATAGTCACCTTTTTGCTGCTTTCCAGCTGCAGCCTCCTCGTTTTCCTTTGCCTTTATGCCTTATTCCTTGGACTCTCTGGTCTTCTATCGACAGTTTGTACAACGACGTAACGTGAGATAGCAGCGACGTTTACAACCAGAGATGAGCGACGTTAGCCGCAAGTGATGTAAAAAAAGCATGTTAATCACGGGCAACGTTAGCCTTACAACAACGTTAATCAACTGAAAAACCGCATTAAACGCACCCTTGCTTCCAACAGCCCCGCCACCCTCACCGTCAGCATTAAAGATCCTCTTAGGTGCACCACCGGTGATATAGCTGTTGTCCGGGTGCTCGGCGCGCGCAGCAACACTGTCATCGCTGCCTGCACGACTACCAGCTTCGCTGACAACGCGTTCTCCAAGCTCAGGCACCGACTCAACTGGATTCAATGAGATATGCCACGTTATAGAACACATAGACAACGTTAAAATAGTGCTACGTTAGTGCTAATGCAACGCTAACACTTTTGCCATACTCACCTTCGTCCTGACCCGGGACAGGCCCTTCATTCTGCTTGTTGTCAGCATCGACAGTATCATCCGTGGCGCCCTTGGTCCCGCTGACATGCCGCAAGATGCCTTCTGGCTTCTTGTGCGCCTTGCCATTACCAGCCGCAACACCGACGGAAGCTTTTGCGGATACGTCTGCATAAATTTACCCCTGCCCAAAGACCGTCCCCTCCATCAAAGGGCGTCTCGAACTCACCGCTGGTGAACCATATACGCGACGCGAGGCCGCCGGGTTCACGCTGCAACTCCACCTCGTGCTGAGTCTCATATCGCCCGGCTCGGTTGCAGACCTTGTGGCGCTTTTAGTCGACTGTACATCGTCCGGATGCAAGCCCGGCGAAACACCTTTTCCTGCTTCGTGGCTTGCGTATTCTCCCATCGTCGATCCGCCTCCGCTTTTTGGATGTCCTCCTACCTCTGCGCTACCTTTAGTCGTAGTATCTTTGCCCGAGGCTCGTCGCGTCGTCGTGCCTCCATCGTCAACTCATTCATCAGCAGTGTGAGCGCCTCGACATCCCCAGTCGAAGGTACCCCGTTGCACTGTGGTGGGTTGGTGCTGTTATCCGTCACGACGCCCTTGATTTCTTCGTCTTCGTCAGTCTCGCGGATCATTGCATCTGCGGGCTCTTTCTACTTGCCGTTAGCTCTCAGGCACCCCGCGTCCACTTGTTCCGTGGGCAGTGCTTCCATCCTGATACAGCTGGTTACTGAGGTTTTGACCTCGGCAGTGAGGTCATTTGTCGTAGGATCCTCTCCCTTGAACGGTGCTGTCTCGCCAACCCCACGCGTGAACACCTGCTCATCTTCGAAGTGCACCCGTCTGATCGTCACCACGGGCTGTTCCACCGCCACAACGCCCCTCGCTGGTTGATTGCCGTTACCTGCATCCTCAACTAGTTGGTCCTCCACCCCTTGCTGGTCGGATGTGGCGTCCTTCAGACGCGTACCGCCGCCCAGCACCGTTGCTAGCACCTGTTGTCTCTCTCCTCCGCCTTCCGGTGCCCTCGGTTTTTTGCCGGCTGCTCCAAGTCTTGCTCTGGAGATCTCCGCTTTCTCTTTCGTTGGCGACCACATACTCTTCCGTCCTTCACTCTTCCGCCTCATGGTGTTTCCACCTCCTCCACCTGTCTGTAGAAATTAACCTCCTTCGCAGCCAAGGCGCCTTCTCCAGACGATGGTTCCTCGCTCTGCTCCTAACCCCGTGAAAGTTCTGCAGGATGCCGAGCCGGGGCCCCTACATCCTGGATTCGTTTCCCGCACCGTTATCAGAGTTGTTGTTGTGGACGTCAGCGTTGGGCCCAACCACAGGGCTGCTCTCTTCCAAATCAGCCTTCTTCAACTCGCAGGCATGCGTATGATGACCAAAGCCATGGCAATAGAAGCACATGTCGTCTGGTTTCGCTGTAGCCATCCTTGGTGCCTGCGGCTGCGTCCTCCTGTCCAAGTATCGCTGGTGGTTCCGTAATCGATCTTCCTTGGTCCGTAAAGGCTCAGTATTTCCGCTACCACTGTCACCTGACCATCGATTATTCGACTGTTGCTGCATCTGCTGACCGGTGTTTTGTCCTTCCAA